AAAAATAGTGCAGTGTTCACTAAAAACTGGAGACTTCCCAGATCCTCTAAAAGAAGCTGTGGTAAAACCACTCCTAAAGAAACCTTAATTAGAGCCAGAGTGCATGGCTAATTACAGACCAGTATCCAACCTTCCATTTCTGGGGAAAATAATTGAAAAAGTAGTGGTAACTCAACTTGAGGCCCATCTATCAAGCTTGAAAATGTTTGATCCTTTCCAGTCAGGTTTCAGATGCCACCACAGCATGGAAACAGGACTAGTCTGAGTGCTAAATGATCTCCTTATGGCGAGAGACAAAGGTGACTACTCCATCCTAATCCTCTTGGATCTCTCAGCTGCATCTGACACCATTGGCCATAGGATTTTAAATAGAGCGCTTGCAGCACATCTGTGGTCTAGGAGGCACAGTCGTTAACTGGTTTAAATCTTTCCTCACTGGTAGATCACAGAGTGTAACATCAGACTCAAGCTCATCAGCACCAACAGAGCTGGCCTGCAGAGTTCCACAACGATCCATCTTGTCTCCCATGCTATTAGCAATTTACTTGCTACCACTGGGTGACATCATAAGGCGACATTGCCTAAGTTATCATTGTTACGTAGATGACACACAACTCTGCGTCTCCTTTGCTCCAACATGCCACCTCAACAGTTGCTTAGCAGACCTCAGAATGGATGAATGCTAATTGACTTAAAGTGAACGCGGACAAAACAGAGTTACTCTTGGTGAGGGGACCCCGAGCAACAAAAATATCCCATGATCAGTTCACCAAAGGTACAAAACCTTGGAGCGCTGATTGACTCTGGACTGTCATTTAAACAGCAGATTTCCTCCGTAATAAAATCTGCCTACTTTCATCGAAAAAACCTAGCCAGGATACAACACTTAATTCCACTGGATAATATGCCAACATTAAATCAATGCATTTGTATCCTCTCGGCTAGATTACTGCAATGTACTGTACTTGGGCCTTCCAGAAAAAGAACTCTATCGCCTTTGGACTGTACAAAATGCAGCAGCCAGACTACTGACCAACCATACTCCCTCCTGCCACATCCTGTTCACCACTCCCTGTATTGGCTTCCAATTAAATGGCAAACATATTTTAAAATCGGCCTGCTAACCTTCAAAGCCTTAAACAATCAAAGCCCACAGTACCTGAAAGAGCTCCTAACACCCTACATTCCATCCCGTTCACTTTGGTCAGCCAGCAAATCCTTCCTGCCAGTGCCAAGAATAAATACTCTGGTTCCAGGGCACTCAGCCACGCTGCCCCTACCTTCTGGAACTCTCTACCTGAACAATGAGAAAGGCACCGTCCTTAGACTTTAAAAAAAAAAAAGCTGTAAAGTGCTTTGAGTCTCACAAAAAGCGCTATAAAAATTGCAAATTATTTTTATTATTATTATAAACATACATTTCCACAGAAAAACAACACAAACACTGAGACAATCTACAAAGCTAGAGAGATCTATGCACAGGGATATATACATATACAAGGAGATAATTATACAGAGAGAGAGCGCTTCAGCTCTATGAGCAGCCCAAGCACACATCAAACCAATCAATCAAGTTTAAACTTTAGGGTGAAATTTATCTCAAGGACATTTGTTCAAAAAAAGATTACATACTACTGTTTGCCTTCTTATGCCTTTAATATGTTAAAACTAACCAAGTAATCTTTTTTATTGATTACACTTGATTATGGCCCTGATACAGTTTTCCACTAACTCCAGAAGATATATATCTCCAAGTGGAGAAAATGAACATAAATATGCATGTTACATGTTCCACGTAAATGATATTATGCTTAAAAAATTATTCTATCCTAAACCTAAAAGTACACTTCAAGATATTAAATATGAACTATTACAAATAATGACAAATCTTTTAAGTGAGTCTTAGACTAAAATTTTACCATGCTGTTTCAAGCTTAAAGGAAAGAAGCAGGAAGACTGCAAGACCTTGATCTATAGGTCAAAACTGCTCCATTAAGCTAAAGTTGTTTTGGTGCTTCAAGTGATCCTTTTAAGGGATACTATAGTACCAGGAATACAAAGCTGTATTCCTGGCATGTTCGATTTCCTCTGCCTGCCCCCCTCTAAATAAAGGGTTAAAACGCAATTTTTTTACTTACCTGATCACAGCACCGATGTCCCTCAGCGCTGCGTCACTGTTCTGCCCTCTCTGACGTCCTGCAACCAGCAGGAGCCAATGCGCATGCGCAGCAAATTCTGCGCACTTTAGAATCAATGCTTTCCTATGGGGAAAAGTCTGATGCTGGAGGTAGAGTGTGAGGATGTTCAGCGTCAGATTTTGGGCCAAAGGTCAGTTTCAATCCAGGAAGTCCTCTCATGGCTGTCTGGTAGGCTGATTTAGTGTTGCAATGTAAACATTGCAGACCACTTCTGAGCTGATGTGGTCTGGGTGCCTACATTGTCCCTTTAAACACACATCCTCTAATAAGACAAACCTGGATATTCTCAGGATGTCATAAAAATAACTTTTAAAAAGGAATCTATACTAACTTACCTTTGAAAGAGCAAAAATAGTTTTGGGCACTAGCATTGCTCTTTGATACATCCAAAAGCACATCTTTAAAAAAATATTAATTGAACACAAATATGTTATCAGAACTTTAGTAATGATGTATTCACATTTAAAAAAACAAAAAAAAAAAAACAACAAAAAAGAAAAACAACAAAGAGATAGTTTTCAAACAATTTATATGTGTTACATATACATTTTGATGATCTTATGTCTGCAGATAAAGCAATCCACATGCTTGCTCATGGCGTGTCTAATTTACCCAGATGTTCGCTTAGACACAATAAAGAAAGAGAAAGATTAAGATATTAGTCATATTGAACCAATTTTTTGCAATTGCTTATCTTAACAGTATTGAAAAAGGGAAGGAGTATCCAGTGTAGCGCTCTAATGATAGTGGATATAAAGGAATAATAAAGGAAAACCTTGCTGTACCTTAATGGGTCATAAACACTTAAGGGTAGTCCCAATATTTTCAGGTTTACCTTAAATCAAAAACACAAATATACAGAACATAGTGTAACCTGTATACAAGCCATAAATAAAAATAGAGGTCGTAGATAACTAACTCACACTTTACTGAGCTAATACGCTAGCTCAGGTATATGCGTCTTTGGGTCCGTAGAGGCGACCCTCACCCTCCTTTTGATCCAAATTTTCTCCAGGTGCAGTGTCCTAGGTAATAGGTATAGGAAGGGAAATATAGCGTAGTACAGTCTGTGTATAGGGTGTATATAATGAGATAATGCTTATATACTCACAAACCCTGAGCCAATATTTCGGCTCGCTTCATAAGATGTATGTGGTTAAGGACCACATTCCTTCTTTATAAAAGCAGGTAGGAATAAAAGCCGTAAGTGTAAAAAATGTATATATGTAATTTATTATATATAAAAAGTATAATTTAACATGAAGTATAAAAATAGTATATATATATATAAAATAACACTTGTGGCTATAGTCCAAAAGCAATTATTTCTGCTCACTGTTCATCCAGGACGCGTTTCACCAAATTGGCTTCCTCAGCTGGAAAAAATGTTGATGAATTTATTTATGGCTTGTATACAGGTTACACTATGTTCTGTATATTTGTGTTTTTGATTTAAGGTAAACCTGAAAATATTGGGACTACCCTTTAGTGTTTATGACCCATTAAGGTACAGCAAGGTTTTCCTTTATTATTCCTTTATATCCACTATCATTAGAGCGCTACACCGGATACTCCTTCCCTTTTTCACTACTTCTGATAGAAAGATAAGCACAGTGATATAGCAGCTCACACAAATCTTTTGGTATAATCTAGATTTAAATTATTATACATAAGCGCTTGTACTCTCCATTCTATTATCTTAATAGTATGCTTGCATAACCTAGCCACAGAACAGTTTTCTGCCAAGGTGTAAAATACTCCCAAAAGCATTGACATCAATAATCTGATTTAAGACACCAATCACATCCTTAATGAACTGAACTAGATGAAAACTATGTTATCATTGTGCAATTACTGGCAGGATTGCTTTGATGTATTTTATTAAAAGAGACACGCCAGACCCCTAAAGCACATCATCTTTCTGTAATGCTTTATTTTTTGAAGAGTGTGTCCTTAAAGATAGCCTAAAGAGAAAAGAAAAGACCATAATGCTGTTTTAATAATCTTCACATTCAATCAACCTTTACAACTCATACAATGGACCTGTGTGATGGAAAAGAAATGGATAAAGCGTTTTCCCTGGACAATTAAAAAGAGGGGACATGACTGCTACCACATAAGTTAGGGAGGGGCCTAATTTTAAGGGATGCATATTTTTTTAAATATGTATTCCTGACCCTAAAGTGCTAAATGAAGTACACTCTTACCTTTGTTATACTGGTGCTGGCTCTGCTCCTGATCTGCCTTCTTGGCTGACATCAGAAGTGGTGATCTAAGCCAGTTACAATTCTTTCCTATAGAAAAGCATTAGCTTGGCTGCAATGGTCAAGAAGGCAGATGATGGGCAGAGCAAGCACAAGCCAAAGACAGCCCTGGCGAATCAGCATCTCCTCATATAGATGCATGGAATTAATGCATCTTTAGGAGGAATGTTCTGTGTCTCCATGCAGAGGTTGGAGACACTGAATATCAGTGCTGCACACAATGCAGTACTGCCACAGGAAGCACCTCTAGTAGCCATCTGAGGAGTGATTAGTGCCCTAGGATACCTTTTCTTGGAAAATATAGTATTTACTGCAAAAAGCCTGAAGGGACTGATTAAACTCTTCAGAACAATTACAATAAGCTGAGTTATCTCTTTACTATGGGCCGCAAATATGAAAGGGATAGTTAAGTGTTGTTGCTTACCAGTCACCAGCGCACTATATAGTAGGCCATACTCATTAACTCCCTTCTTTAATTAAAGGTGCACTCAAGACCCCTAAAGCACTTTAGCTTGCTTAAATGCTTTATATGTTAAATGAACACTATAGTCACCTAAATTACTTTAGCTAAATAAAGCAGTTTTAGTGTATAGATCATTCCCCTGCAATTTCGCTGCTCAATTCACTGTCATTTAGGAGTTAAATCACTTTGTTTCTGTTTATGCAGCCCTAGCCACACCTCCCCTGGCTATGATTGACAGAGCCTGCATGAAAAAAAAACTGGTTTCACTTTCAAACAGATGTAATTTACCTTAAATAATTGTATCTCAATCTCTAAATTGAACTTTAATCACATACAGGAGGTTCTTGCAGGGTCTAGCAAGCTATTAACATAGCAGGGGATAAGAAAATCTTAATTAAACAGAACTTGCAATAAAGAAAGCCTAAATAGGGCTCTCTTTACAGGAAGTGTTTATGGAAGGCTGTGCAAGTCACATGCAGGGAGGTGTGACTAGGGTTCATAAACAAAGGGATTTAACTCCTAAATGGCAGAGGATTGAGCAGTGAGGCTGCAGGGGCATGTTCTATACAACAAAACTGCTTCCTTAAGCTAAAGTTGTTCAGATGACTATAGTGTCTATAGTTTGTCCTTTTTTTTTTTTTTTTACATTTTAATTCGATTTCAATAGAAATTGGCATTCTTTTAAATTAACTTTGTTACACCCCCCTTGCTGTCAGACAACTGGTCTGTTACATCTTGGTTTGGTTTGCTCAGAAGAGCTAAACGCAAACGCAATTGCCCAGAGCAACTTGCAAAGACTTCTCATTAAGTTGCATTGAAATATATAATATATATATTTTTGTTTTTTTGTTTTTTTGGATGGTGAAGTATTTGTTTAAACTTATTTTTCCTTTTGTTTGTTGTTCTGTTTTCTTATATTTTATCACAGCTTGCAGGATTCCTTAGCGGACTGGAGGACTCTCAGGCCACACTGACGAAGGCCACTGAATATGCCAAGGTCTTTGCTGACTGTGCCCTATATTAACCTCCTCCCGAGTCTGAGCTACTTCCCCCGGTTATGGGCTGAACAAAGCCAAAAACACTGACTGCGTCTCAGGGGACGAGAGACATCAGCAAGTTGCTCTCCGGCACAACGAGACTGAAGCCTGTTGAAAGGGAGGCCTCCATGGATTCGTCGGATGATGAGGTTAGTCAGCCCCACGCTGGGCCTAGCCGTTCCGTCTTGTCATCCCCCAGCAAACCCGCTGATTCGCAACCCTCATCTCCCTCAAACAAACAAGACATATCAGATCTATATGATCGCATCCAAAAATTATTCGAAGCAAACATTGCTCTGGTGAAGGAAGAGGTACAGGCTGTTACTGAGCGGGTACGAGTCACGGACACCAACACCAATCTCAGAGTGAACTTCGTCAATGACAGAGGCCAGAAGAAAAAAAACTGTTGGATACAGTGGCATCGGAGGATCTACCCCACCTCATAAGATTGCTAGTCTCAGCATTGCATACAAAAATGACGAAAGCGAGTGTGTTGGATGGTACCTACCGAATAGCTCAGTCACCTACTGCCTCCCCTAGAGACATAATAGTCTGACAAATCCTGTGCAGATAAACAAAAGCTCCTGAATGCATTAAGGGCCAAAGCACCTCTACACTTTGAAACACACCACCTGACTTTCTATCAAGATCACACCTGCTCTACCTTGCAATGGAGACAAGCCATGCAACCCAGTATCTAGAAGTTGCAGGAAGCGGGCATCTCATCCCATTGGTCCACTCCAAGGGCTTTAATAACATATGCAGCAGTCAAGATACACCACCAGAGAACCAGAGGCCCCAACCTGGCTACGCATGGGACGTCTTGAATACAACACATTTTGTTCCTGCCAGGAAATGGAACTCTGACTTGATTCACTGTTGCTTTAAAATAGGTTCTTATTTGGTTTTATGTTATTAAGTTGTTGAGTTCCTCCTTTTATTTCAGTTTGTTTACTACATATCTCTAACATATTATCATACTGATGGCCCACTCACACGTGGCACCAAGACCGCTACCCAATGAGTGGCCCTGGCGAAGCAGTCCAAGTTGTATCCACCGAAACGGTACTGCATTGGCACACTCACACTTAACATTACACCTTTATCTAACAACAAAGCTTAGATGCTCTCCTAAACCAAAATATTACTGCACCTCATGAAGTACAGCTATCTTATAAAGCACCCCTGCAATACTCAGCTGATAGACTGGATCACCCAATATGATTTTCCTTGTTCAGCACTAATCATATGGCTTACTTAGCCAGTATCAATGTGTCTACATTATTTCATTTATTCAAATGTTCTCTCACTAGACATGTCAGTTCTTCTTCTTTATTCCCAATCTACAAAACAACGTTCCATATCATTTGTAAAGCCATGTATAATGTAAACATTCACCATGCTGTTACTCACACATATGTATATGCATTATCACCTCAATAAAAAAGGAGAATGACAAAAAAAAAAAAGACTATGGAGCAATGGAAGAAGGTTGCCTGGTCTGATGAATCAGTTTTTTTTGATCAGGTGGATGGCTGGGTGCATCACTTATCCGTAGAAGAGATGTCAGCAGGATGACGGCGGAGGCGTGTTGTGCTCTGGGTAATGTTCTGCTGGTAAACCTTGGATCCTGGCATTCATATGGATGTTACATTGACACGTACAACAACTGTGTGTGTCTGTGAGTATGTGTGTGTCTGAGTATGTGTGTGTCTGTTGGTGAGTTTGTGTGTGTTTGTGTGTCTGTCTGTGAGTATCTGTCTGTGAATATGTGTGTGTCTGGCTGAACATGTGTGTGTCAGCGGGAGGATCAGATTTGGCACAGAGTACTGTGGTTTACTAGGGGGGGCTGGGATTTAGTAGAGGGGGTGCTGTGGTTTAGTAAAGGGGGATGCTGTTTTCTTTTTATACTGTACTTTAAAATAAAACCTAAGTTTCTATGAAAATTTATGGTATTTTTTTTGCGGCCCACATAAACTTAAATCTTGTTTATGTGGCTCGATCCAGACTTTGAGTTTGACATGCTTGCTGTAATGTAACAAAATAGGTAAAAAGTCAAGGGGGTGAAAACTTTTGCAAGGCACTGTACATAGGCCTCACAAATCCTAGAAGTGGAGTTGTACCACTGTACGCTATCAACACTAGACCTAAGTAGATAGCTCTATCAACATGACCATATAGATTCTCTATACTGTATTTAGCCCCCTATTTGGGACATACTGCACCATTAGTTCTCATCTTTATCTATTTCATATGAACTTCAAGGCTTTACTTATACCACATTGAGGAATACACCTACTATCAAGATTGTACCATCCTCCACGGACAGGTTTCCATTTTTGGATTTATCCACCTCAGACTTTTTACTCTGGACTTTTTAGCTATTGTGCATATATTTTCTACTTTTCCAGCTTGTCATATGTGATAGTAGTTTTCTACCTTTATATTTTAGTGGCGCTACCTTTCCTTTATCTGATTTTACTATTTATGTTATAGGGCCTGTGAGGGAGCCCTATTTTTAGGTGTGCTGCCACCCCTTTATTTATTTTTTATCATGCGTTGCTTAGATAGAGAGCGCTGATCCACTTTTTTGTATTGCACATGCACAGGTGCATCAATGTGTATGTGTGCATGTATTGCAACTCTATTTTTTTTTTACTTTGGTGTTAGTGGCGTCTCATGTTTGGGTTTCTTAAGTCCTCATAAAGTCTAGAGCCGCCTCTGTAGAAAAGTATTCACTGGGAACTTAGTAGGTTATTTTTCACAGTTGCAAGAGAGGAGTCATGGGGGGGAAGGGGAGTGAAAATCCGCTGACAGTTTAAATGATATGCTTTCCTGAAGACGTGTGTTTTCAAAGATTTTTTGAAGGAGTGGAGACTGGGTGAAAGTATAACAGAGAAGGGAAGGGAATTCCACAGAAAAGGTGCAGCCCTGGAAAAGTCTTGGAGGCGAGCATCAGATGTGGGAGTGCGGACAGAGGATAGACGTAATTAATTTATACACAATTTTAGTGGGGGTCTAATGAACCATACATATTTTTTATATTTATTTTAAAAGAGAGCTCAACTCTTTCTTATCACATGCTGAGGTCTCAAGACCCCAGAATGCATTACAGCCATACCCCACTTTACAGTGAGTACAGACATTCCATGAGTGTACGTAAAGGTGCCTCGTGAGTACAGATATTCCCGCACCTCTTCTGTTTGCGAGTGAACAGTAAATGGAAGGTTCTATTCTTGTCCGGAGCAGCTCAGTTCAGTGTCATTGGGGCAAGAACTATTCACACCTTCTGAGATGGCACAGGTTGATCATCTCAAATTTATAATGCCTACTCCTAGCTGAACACACACACACATTTTTCTGTCCATACTCTGCAATCGGCTGCCATCCAGTGAAAGGGTTTACCCTGCCATTTTCTATGACTATGACTTAGCAGCTTAGCTGCATTAGCCAGAATTCTGAGGATTCAAAGTTAAACCATAAATGCTTAAAGTGATGAAGAGGTGTTTTTAAACAAAGTGTGCAACTAAGCTGCTAACAAATACAAATTGGCACTGTATTGACAGAAAATGGCCCAGTGGGCAGGTTTATTTTACTTTTTATCCCAGTTTAAGATTGTCAGATGAGTAAAACATTAAAGATAAATGGTACAATCTGGAATTAGATTTTTCTTTTTACTGTTTGTTTTAACTGAATAAAAGCCCACTGGAAATCATTAAATAAAATCACTGGAACTCTGCAGTTGCAGTATCAGTTATGCCTATAAATTACTATTGTAATGCAGTACATGCATTGGGAACTGAGAAAGTGTATTGCCTCACGTTAAGTAAATTTTTGTTTTACATACATGCTCTGGTCCCATTGCGTACTTAAAAGTGGGGTATGCCTGTACTTAAATAATGTTACGGTGCAGGGGAGAGTAGATTATTGTTTTACTCTCCATTGTGCACTGAAATGGTTAATAGTACTTCATAGCTAGTCTACTCCAGACCTTATAGCTGTCTTCATTAAGTGTAGCATTTAGCCATTGGATATGCCACAGCATTTAGTGATTAGCAAATGACATTGGGGTTTCTATAGTTTACCAAGAAGCGCTTGCCCTCTGGTCAGTACTCTTTACGAACTAGTGTTGCAGCAAACTTATGTCAGTTCCTCAATAGTGTTGACATAATTGTTGCCACAACACCAATAATAACATTGGCAGGCTCTACATAATCCATGTCATGTATTGAATAAGAAAACATAATATTGTATATCCTGGGAAGTGACACTTACTAATTACCCCATTCAATACCAAAATAGATTATAAATGTTTTTATTTTCATGTATTTGAAACCTTGTTCATAAAATCTCACTTACTCACAGCTTGCCTAGTTATGATTACCATTCCGTAGAAAAATGAACTTCTCTGCCAGAAGTCACTAGTCACTGATATAAAACATGTAAAGATACAGGAAAATGTAAGCTAACCGCTCTGCTTTAAAACAGTACAGGATGTTTCAGTGGGATATGTCATTCTGACAGTCAAGAAGGGAAGGGGAGAATGACATTTAATTGTCAGCATTACATTAGCAGTCCAGAGAGTCATAACAATTGCTATAACAGTTTAAAATACTTTTAAAAGGTTTTTGTTTTCAGAAATGTATTTAGCTGTACTTGCTGCATGTGGGCATTATGCTCAAATGCAGACATTATTTTTCATAAAATGTACTACAAGTAATACCTTCTGGATCCTGGCAAATACCTATAAGCAATGTATTTTACCATTCTATTTATATTTTTGTCACATCTACTGTATGTTAAAAAAAAATAAAAAAATGTGTTTTGTCTTTCATAGTACCATTTCTGACCCCATGTGAAGTATTAGTAAAAATCAAAGGAAAAAAAAAATAGTTACCTGCGCTCTCTCCTGAATCCCGATGTATATTTAAACAAAAGGAGGTCAATTAGTTACTCCAATAGCCACTGGAGGGAATGCCCCCCTGCCAACGTCAAGAATTGACAAATTGAACGACCTTGTACAATGTCTAAGCTTTTCATTTCCAAATAAGTTTATGAAGGATGAATAAACAAAATAAAAATAAAAAAGTGTAAATGTATATGATTTAAATTTTTAAGTTTGTGTGCAAAGTACTTTATACACAAATTTGCTGTATTATGATATGTTTATATGCTAGCTACATATCCCTTACTTTAAATACTTGTTACGCTAATGTTTTTTTTCAATCAAAAAGCACTCTGTAGTGAAGGGGTTAAGAATGTGGTTAAAATCTATATACAAAATCTATACAAACACAGTGATGAACACGTAACCATTATAGATAATTTAATCAATTATAACACATTCAATAGTACAGGAAAGGTATGTAATCACAGAATTAAATCCTTAATACTATAAGGACAGTAAGAGTGCAGCAGTGGGAAAAAAAAACAAAACATTAATCAGTCCTTAGAACATATATAAGTCCCCTAAACACTTTTGAAAAGAGACGCTAAACATGAGGGACGTTTAGAATATTTGTAGAAAATCAATTGCTCTGAGTAGAGCTGGGGTAAGCTTTATGCATTTGTCATGACATTGAGTGATGTCCTAGATAAAGTCACACTTTCTCAAAGGCTTAATGGGATAAGCATAGCATGATCCTTTTTAAAAGTGCAGAAAATTAGCTGATTTATATATGTATATAAAGGTTATCCTAACACAGATCTTCTAAAGCCACAGGTACTCATAATCATGTATAAATTACTCAATAGCTATGTTCAGTCAGAGTGTAAACTTCAGATATACTTTATATGCATAGAATAAATACTGCAAATATAAAACAATGCTTGTAGTTTAAATATCTGTTCTTGGTATTAAAAAAAAACACCAAGAATATTGTCAACTGGACATTACCCTCAAAATTTACAGTAAATAAATATTTACAAAAATATAACTAATATAAAATAAATAAAAATAGTCTTGCAATTTACGATAAGCTATGAACAAATCAATATTGCAAGTTACTTGTCAAATTACTTGAACTATTATCATCCCTGCTGCAGTGTGGTGTTCACCTGGCAAAAAAAAAAAAAAAAAAAAATTATTATTTTTTATTAACCAAGACAACATTCCATCACGCTGCATCGCATAGAAACACAGAAACGTAGAATGTGACGGCAGATAAGAACCATTCAGCCCATCTAGTCTACCCAATTCTCTAATACTTTTATTAGTCCCTGACCTTATCTTATTTCTAGGATAGCCTTCTGCCTATGCCACGCATGCTTAGACCCCCTTAATGTGTTAACCTCTACCATTTCAGCTGGAAGGTTATTTTCTGCATCCACTACCCTTTAAGTAAAGTAATACTTCCTGATATTTTTAAATCTTTGCCCCTCTAATTTAAGATTATATTCTCTTGTTGTGATAGTTTTTCTTCTTTTAAATATACTCTCCTCTAGAGTTGAGCAGACACCTGGATGGTTGGTTTCGCCGAGTTCGGCCGAACTTCATCAAAAAGTTCGAGTTCGGGCTCGAACCAGAAACCTATTGAAGTCAATGGAGACCCGAACATTTGGGCACTAGAATGCCTCTAAAAAAGTCCTGAAAAGGGCTAGAGGGCTGCAAAAGGAAGTAAAATGGGGGTAAGAGTAGGACAAGTGCCCTGCAAACAAATGTGGATAGGGAAATCACTTCAAATAACATACAAATTTTAAATACAGCTGAGCCATAAAATAGCACTAGTTGGAATCTTTGATTTTAGCTTTGGAAGAACATAAATCAAAATCTAAAGCATGGCTGTCAGGAGGATCACCAGAATTATCCATTTGAGAGAGGGTTGGAGTGCAGGGTATTCTCATTGTTCAAACTGAGCTCAACTCCTGATGCATGGAGAAAAGGCCTTCACAAGCCTCTGCTATTGTGTACATAGTTTATACTAAGTGACCCATAGGTTGAGGAGGCGGTGACTGTGGCAGTGTAGGTGGAAGTGGCGGTGGAGGCAGCCAACACTTTTTTTTTGTTTTTTTTTTTTTAATTGGGACAGCCCACAAAATATTGGTACAAAATAAATAAATTAAAAAATTTTTGATGCCTGCGGTGCCTTTGCCTCCAGTCCAATAACATCAGGTTTTTAAAACTGTCCGTCTCCACCAGACGGAATGACAGCATTTCAAAGGCCAGGAATTTTGAAATGCTGGCATTCAGGGCCAGGGATCGTGGGTGGGTAGGGGGGTACTTCCTCATTCTCTGCAGTGTTTGGGAGATGGACAGCTGAATGCTTCCATGGGACAGTGTGGAGATGCTGGACAATTGTGTACCTGGCCTATGCTGGTGCAGGAACCCACCCTCCGAGCCACTTGTGAGTGACTGGCCTGATAACTGTGGAAATGACCCCTCTTCCTCCTCTTCCTCCTGTGCCACATCCTCTTCCATCATTGCCCAAAGCGTTTTTTCAAGGAGACAAAGAAGCGGGATAGTAAGGCTGAGAACGGCATCATCTGCACTAGCCATTTTGGTGGAGTACTCGAAACAGTGCAACATGGCACACAGTGAAGTGGTGCTGTTCCGCAGAGCGACTGACCAGTGCGTGCTGCAGCTGAAACTCCACTATCCCCTGCTGCTGCTCGCACAGTCTCTCCAGTATGTACAAGGTGGAGTACCACCTTGTGGGCACATCACATATAAGGCGGTGAGCGGGAAGGCCGAAGTTATGCTGCAGCGCAGACAGGCGAGCAGCAGTATGGTGAGAACGCCAAAAGCGCGCACAGACGGCCCGCACTTTCTGCAGCAGCTCTGATATATCTGGGTAGTTTTTCAGGAATTTCTGCACCACCAAATTCAGCACATGTGCCAGGCAAGGGATTTGCGTCAAACTGGCTAGGCCCAGAGCTACTACGAGATTTTGCCCATTATCGCACACCACCAGGCCGGACTTGAGGCTCAGGGGCAACAACCACTCATCGGTCTGTTCCATGCCTGTCCACAGCCCATGCGTGGTGTGGGGTTTCCCCCCCAAACATATGAGTTTTAAAACAGCCTGCTGTCATTTCCCCCTGGCTGTGCTGAAGTTGGTGGTGAAGGTGTTACGCTGACCGGATGAGGAGGTGGTAGAGGAGGAGGAAGCGGAGTAGGAGGAGGAGGCAAATTTGTGTACCCAAATAAAGATTGTCAAACATTGTATCCTGGAACTGTGTCCCATCCGGTTACTGGGGAAATGGGTCTGACCTATTCTAATCAAAGGGGATAACCATTGGTTACCCAGGTCCCGCTTCAATTGGTGGCAAGAGGTGGGATCCCATGTCCCTGCCAACAGATCCATGGACTACAGTGCTCTAAAGTGACCTACACTGCAGGACTTGTGTGGAGCCAGAGGAATTACACCTGGTGGGCGTAACAAGACCGAATTGACTGCTGCGCTCATGGACGATGACCAGGCATGCAGTGAGGCAACGAACCCCAGCCAGGGGCAAGAGATGAGGAGGAAGTGCGCAAGGAGGTGTAACGGCACCTGGCATATTACCGAGAGCCACCCTCAGAGGAGATTGTCAGCAGGACCTTTTTGGAGGTGCAAGCCTATGTCCTTGCCAATAGACAGAGGGCGACCCCCATAAACCCAGATGAAGGAAGAAGGGAGCAGAGGGTGCTGGGAAGCACAACCACACTGGCCCACAAGCTACCATACAATGCCTTCAAAGAGTTCAAGGAAGCAGAAGAAGGCATCGATGATTTTTATAAGACTTTGAGCGCCAGTGCCTACTCCAAGACGTGGACCCCAGCGACTGGGTCACCATCCTGGCCAGCAAACTAGTGGGGAAGGCAGCAGATATTTACCGGGCTGTACCAGAAGAGCAGATCAGAGACTCCCAAATCCTCCTGGCCCGGTATGCGGTCACCCCCAAGCAATACCTCCGAAAGTTTAGGGAGACCCGGAAAGGGGAGAAGGACTCCCATGCAGAGTGGGCATGCCGCATCACAAGGGCCACCCAGAACTGGATCAACTCCCATCAAGCCAAGTTCCCGGAGATCACCCAGCTTGTCATGCTAAAGCACATTTTTTAATGGGCTCCCCAACGACAAGGCGACGACGCATTCGTATGTCAATCCAAATGAACTTTCGATGCCATTTACTGTGCCTACCCTGGTGACCACTGGAAACGCTGAATCAGGGTTCGATTCCGGAGAGTGAGCCTGAGAAACGGCTACCACATGCAAGGAAGGCAGTGGGCACGCAAATGACTTACTCTCGACACGGGATGGTAGTGACGACAAATAATACAGGACTCTTTAGAGGCCCTGTAATTGTAATGAGTCCACTTGAAATCCTTTAACTCTGATCAATTGGAGGGAAAGTCTGGTGCAGAGCGACTGACCCGTGTGTGCTGCAGTTGAAACTCCACTATCGCCTGCTGCTGCTCGCACAGTCTCTCCAGCATGTGCAAGGTGGAGTTCCACCTTGTGGGCACATCGCATATGAGGCGGTGAGCGGGAAGGCCAAAGTTATGCTGCAGCGCAGACAGGCGAGCAGCAGCAGGGTGAGAACACCGAAAGCGCGCAGAGCCGCTACAGTGAATGTCACATCCTGTTCCAAGTTGCGGATCCGTCTGGTGATGGCTTCTGGTATCCAGTACTCTTTTTACTGATGCTGCATCAGGGTCCTGGTATGTGGCCGCACAAACGCTGGTACTCAACACCAGGGAACGTGTGGTTACCCTGCACCAGACCCTGCTAATCCATTCCACACTGTGACTCCTGACTTCAACATCAGACATACTGGGTCCCGGTCATCCGACCGCCGCCCAGACAGTGTCTGGGTCCTGGTCACCAGACTGCGAAACTGTGAATGGCTGGTTAAATCTGTTATGGTTCTTTTTAATCGCTTCAACTGTTACTTGGATAACTGGGAATTCTAAAGATAATACATGGCGATGAGCGCTATGGGACGGCCGCTCCGCTTTTGCACCCTGCTCCCTCTTATGCTGTGCTGGTGCCTCTGTGCGACCAGCGCCTCTTCCTCCAAACTGCACACGTCACTTGCATGACCTTGATTCCATGTGGGGTGTACTACCTCATCATCCTCCACATCATCTTCCACCCACTCCTCAATCCTGCCCTCCTTGCCGGTCTGCACACTGCAGAAAGCCAAAGTAGTTTTTCCAGCATGTAAAGTCTGCAAAGGACATATGGAAATTGTTTTAGAATTGTATCCAGGCAACAGTTTTCCCTATAAACTGACCTCTCAGGTTGACTTGTGAGGGTATTGCCCCCGAATTACAATATTGTTATATTGGTATTTGATGGTTCAATTTGACTGTCAGATATGAAGTGCAGGCCGCAAATGTACTATTTAGCACCCCAAAAAATTTGAATTGGTCAAACTGCGCTGTAACCACAGTATTTGATGGTTCTATTGGACTCTCAGATATGAAAAGCATGCCCCAAATGTACCATTAAGCAGATTAGCACCCAGAAAATAAGAATGTTTACAATTGCGCTGTAACCGCAATATTTGATGCTTCTATTTGACTCTCAGATGTGAAGAGCATGCCCCAAATGTACTTAATAGGAGCAAAACAATGGGAATTTGTCAAAGTGCACTGTAAACATAGTATTTGAAGCTTCTATTTGACTCTCAGATATGAAGTGCAGGCCCCAAATGTACTATTTAGCAACTAAAAAATTTAAATGTTTAAAACTGCAATGTAAGCACAGTATTTGACGGTTCTATTTGACTCTCAGATATGAAGTGCAGGCCCCAAATGTACTATTTAGCACAAAAGAAATGTGAATTAGTCAAACTGCAATACCACAGCAGTATTTGACGGTTCTATTTGACTTTCAGATATGAAGTGCACTACACAAATGTACTTTTTAGCACCAAAGAAAATGTGAATTAGTCAAACTGCAGTGTCACAGCAGTATTTGACGCTTCTATTTGACTCTCAGATATGAAGTGCACACCCCAAATTTAACTTTTTAGCACCAAAGAAATGTGAAATTTGAATTTGTCAAACTGCAATACAGCAGTATTTATAAATGCCTAGATGTTGCCCACTGAGCTACCAGAACAAGATTAAAGTAATGTGCCTGGCACACATGCAGTTGCCAAAAACATTTGAATGTTTCAAACTGAGCTGTAACCACAGTATTTGACGGTTCTATTTGACTCAGATATAAAGTGCACCGCAGGCCACAAATGTACTATTTAGCACCAAAAAGTTTGATTTTTTTAAACCAACAATGTAACAGTAGTATTTAAGGGTTTTATTGGACTGCAAGAAATGCAGTACGCAAATGTACTATTTAGCACCAAAAACATTGCAGTATTTAAAAATGCCTAGATGTTGCCCACTGAGCTACCAGAACAGGATTAAAGTAATGTGCCTGGCATACACGCGGTTGCTAGTGCACTGCCCTCTCTGTGGCACTTGGCTCACGGCACGGTACAAAAATGTAGTATAGCACCCACAAAAATAATCAAAAATATGTATAGACTAGTTTGATATTTTATTTTCCATTATAGTACCTCAGGAGAAATATTGGATTTTAGCTAAACTCAGAAAACCAGAATGACCCATTACATACTGTAAATAAATTCCATTTTGAAAAAGCCTTAAAGGTGAAACGCGTTCATGGTTTTAAATTGTGTATTTTAACAATACAAGTCTTTTGGTTACCCTTTTTTATAGGACCAATTTTCATTTTCTTGGATTTTATATGCACTTTCTTATTTTTCTTCCTGGCACCTTTTTATTCTTTTATTGTATCCTGACTCAAGAAATCCTAGGTGGGGATCTTTCCACCAACGCTGTATTGATAGAGCAGTACCTCCTGCTCTACACTTGTGAGTATATTTTATATATATATATTTTATTACTCTATCCTTATATACTGAGTACACTATTGCTGTTTTTTTATATATACCTTGGAGCACTGAATCTACCAGGCCGTAGTGACGGACGCACCTCTCCAGTATATCCTTTAGCGGGTATTATACTGCTACACGCCCTTCACCCCAGAGCTGGTTAAAGCTCTCACAAATGTGAGTGTATTACCTTCCTTTTATCTATTTTACCATTGGATTTTACAATATTACGCTACCGGCTGTTTGTCGTATTCTCCCTCATTTTGTCTCCACATATAAGGATATTTTATCAATCCGGACGGATCAACTCCCGAGGACTGTATCCCTACCTTATCCATATATTCGTGAGACTTTTTATATGACTTTTTAACCTCCATATTATATTTTATTATCCGGACGGATCTATTTTTATTCTGTTGTCTTAAGTGAGATGTTTTATTCTTCACCGTTTCCTATTACTTATATAGGTTTATTCGTTGGTGTTTAATCCATTTAGACCATTTGGTCTGGTTTCTATTGTTTTAGACTACTGTAACTAGCTTTTTAGTGCAGCCCTTACCCCTTCACATCTTTTTACTGTAAATAAATGCCTATGTGTGATACATGAAATAATGTATATTACGTTGCCAAATTATAACACATTTTCCATTTCTAAACTGGTATGTGCTCTATTGTATTGCACATTTTTAAAATAGTTTATGCATGTTTCATTTGGACCCTCTTTATATTTACAAGATGCTGCAGTAAAAGATAAAACTAAATAATTGCTCCCCGTTTGCTTTTTATAGCACATTGAATGTATGCCAAATCCAACACTACAGCTGTGAGTGTAATAAAGAAATGTTAAGTACACAACTCAAGTCAATTTCCTGCCAAGGGAAAAAAAACACTGCCCTTTATCACATAAGGTAAATAAATGGCATTGGTTATTATCCCCTATGGCAATACACTTGTAACTGTCCTTGATCATATTATTACTATACAGCCAAGTCTAGATGTGCTATTTCAACAAAAACAATGGGATATGGACATAAAACAGGCAGGAATAACCACAGAAGGAGCACACTAAATGGTAATAATTAATCACAAGCTTTAGGACATCTTGACATTAATGGTCAAAATGTTGCTGTGCTTGGAACTTTTTTTATTATTCCAAGGAGTGACTCATCCCTTAATTTTTAAGTACTGAAGCCGTCTATTTGTGAAATATTTCTAGATTCCATGTGTTCCACGGAGCTGAAGCAATGCGCTGTTCATGAGTCCAACGAGATTTTCATCTCATAGGATTTTTAACTAGTGCAACCAATGAAAGTGATAAATCAGAGCTATAAAAATGGATTGTGATTAATCAGCTCCTGTCTCAAACACTCCAGCTCTACCCAACTTCTAAGTACATTTTATGTCTTATAAAATGTCATTAAACATACTACACAATGGAATATATTTCACACACATCTTTAAATGGTATTAGTGTGCTATATGGTTCAGGGTTTCCCTGCAATTTAGATGTAGCATAAAATAATATAATAAAATTATACGTTTACATATTTACTTCCTCACCCCCTTTTCTTTATTTTCTGGAAATAATGTTTTACTGACTTCTTTGATTTATTGATGAACATAACTTTTACTTTTATTGTATCATGGCATTTGGAAAACTTTAAATAAATGTGAAGCTGAAAAATGGCATGAAACAATTTAAAAAATAAAGGGGTAGCTTGGAATCTGAACTGTACTTTTTGACAAAAAAAAAGAAAGAAAAATACCTTAGATGAATATGTATTAACAATTACTTTTTTATTTCTAATAGGAACTTCAGTTGTATTTTTTTTTTGTTGCATAGAGTTAGAGACTTACAGAATTAAATATCCGTGAACATGCATAGAAAGGTTCCACAGAGACATAAATCAATACATACAGATAGTATGCCGCACATAGTGTATCAAATACAAGTATCAACTAACTGCACATTTTGATAAATATAGAATGCTTATACGTGCTACTATGTTGGTAACAGAAATGATAATGCTTGCCAGTGGGGCCCTATAGGTAAGCAAACAAGAAGTCGACAAACTTTAAAGGGTACAATCTGCTAGTAACACGTGCTATATTAAATATGTAGGCATGTATACATCTAGTGGCATGTTTAGTTTATAGAGAGAATCGCACTGCATATTCCAAACTAAGTTTTAGTTTACAGAGCCTAGCATAAAGTAAAACAAAAAATAAATTAAGATATTTCACTATAAAGTAAAAGATCTAAGCATAACTATTATTTAAGTACATTTAAAGCAATCATTGTGCCGTTAATTTTTTGGTTCAGTGGACCTCTGTGTGGCTATTCTAGGCACAAAGGGTCTAATTCATTTTACAGACCACAAAGGATGGGTCACTGCTGACATT